GAAAAGCACTGATAACAAAACTGATAAAAGGACTGTTTAATCAATTCGTCATATTTTTAGAAATTATTTTTAGAAATTTCTCGCATTTCAAAAGCGAGAAATAAACAGTATTATTTAACTGAAACAAACAATCTTATTCAAGTGTAATGCAAGTTATAAAAAATTGGAAGAGGGAGTTAGCTTCTGATGGAAACCAAAAGTAGGAGTGTTCTTCCACTCTGACATTCAAGCCTTCTCTTTTCAGACACTTAACATGAACGTCCATTAATTGGAACTCACGTCTTCATCAGTCCACCATTTAGAAATAACACAGCTCATTAAATTGGATGCTATTTGAACTAAATGGCCCAAGAATCCTTTTAGGTTCAAGAAAACATCCTTTCATTTGTTTCTTGGTTCTTTACGACAGTGTAAGTCTCACACCTCTAAATCAAAGACAGAACACCAAAGAATTCTGCAACAAGATAGTTTTCAGAATTGTTAACAAGCATCATGACTGCTATGGAATGATTACTTATCAAGTGCTAACATTACACGTTTTACAAATTAAGAAAAATCTGCAAAACCACAGAACTCAGAAAAAAATTATCTTTTCAAAGTATCAACTGTTTTTAATTAACTTTACCTTTATTATGCATTTTAAAAATCCCTCAATTTCACTTATAGTTTTAAAGTAAAAGGTGCTTTTAACACCTGTCTTATGGTGTTATGCTGAAATGTCACACCATTTATGATACAAAAACAAGAAAAAAGAGCAAAGTGCGTCAAACATTCAAAGATGTTTAATATAACAGCTCTGTGAAGGAAAATCTTCCATTTATAATTCTGATGATCACAACACACATCTTCCACTTCCCCATGATTCAAACATTAATTTACACCTTGATAATTGGAATATGTGAAAGGCTTACTGCATCAATGATATTTAGCTCACAATAAATTCCATGCATTAGTGCTCTTGCAGATCCCTATAGGCTATGAGAATTTAGTCCTCTTGCCAGTGCAGCACTAATTACAACTTCTGTAGCACAATGCCATTCATGCAGTGCATGCTAAAAAGTCTACAGGATAAAAAGAAAAGTGATTTCTTTTTTATTTTGCATTATCATGCTCTCTCGTGGTTGTGAAGATTAAGACCAGTAAACAATGCCACTTTTATAACCAATTTATAATTGCTTCATTTGTTCATGCATCTTAAGGTCTTCAGAAGTTGATCACAATAGGAACGCAAACCCTCAAGTTCTTGCTTGCTCCAGAGCTTGCTCCCTGGGCTTCAAACGAAGGAATTAAATTTACTTAGCTGTTGCTAATGTAAAATAATGATTTCCACAACCTAATGATGTAAATGAAAAGGCTTTTGCAGGCTTTAACTAGGTCCTTCTGTTAAATCTCACCTAATTCAAACATACACTGCACACCTACAAGAATACAGAGAACCAATGAAGTGTTGCAAGACAGGTATTTGACTAGTGCTCTATTTCTTCACTTGTACTCTCAGGAGATAATGTAAGCATGGCAGCGATTCTTGTACGAATAATTAGTATTATGCAAATGTTGTTATCTGGAAGTCAATATCTTACACAGATCTTACCCCTAACACATTTTCCTTGCATCTAGGATTGTAACCGGACAGAGGATGAGACATATGCCAGCCTGAAGGTGTCTGTAATCTCCTGTATGATTACTGTATCTAGTGGACACACCTGAATATTCAAAGTACATTCAAGGTACATTTCAATCAGAAACAAAAAAATATATCTAGGTCAGCATTCAGCATCTCTTTCATTCATTTATAAACTTCATTATTTCTTAATTACATATTGCAGCACAGTACATCTCAAATCTCCTATCTCACAATGTGATTTGAGTTAAACATTGTTCCTTTAACATCAAATATTCTTAATCCCAGCAGATCACTCAGAAAATTGTCTTTAAGTTAAGGCAGATGAAAAGGAGCCAACACAACAATTTTCTTTAACAGTTGTTTAATCACTGCTTTAAAAGTAACATCAAGAACAATTTAATCAATCCTGTTTTTAGAATTAAAAATGTAATGCTTTCTAAAATCATGAAAAATATTTTAATGTGAAAAAAGTAAAATAAAAGTAAACTAAATTATCGAAAATAAGAAGTGGATAGTGATGTTCTGATGGGAATTAATAGTAGAGTTTTCTTAAATTGCTTGGAATTTGACTATGATTTATCATATACATCACTATCTACTTCTACATGCAGCAGAATGGCAGGTTCTACGTTTTACTGCAGAGAAATGCCACTATGTGTGTTGACATTTTGTGTTTTATCCTTTGTGAACACTAATATTTCCTATTCTTAAGTCACTTGTTCCAATCCTCTGACAGCTTCTGCCAAATATATCATTAGACAGTACTTCAGATTCTAGCTCATGAAAGCAAAAATCTACTGTCTGCTGGAAACAATACATCAAAACTCTATGTTAAGTGTCTCTCCATTTCCTTTGAAGGTTTGTGAGCCTGTTCCTTCAAAATGTATCTACAAATATTGGCTTGACAACAAAGATGTCAGAACCTTTTGAGAATCTTACAATGAGACTGAATTTGATTAAATCAAATTAAAAAAAAAACGGCATTCCACTTGAATGAGATAATGTTTTACCTTATTGGCCAAAAAGTAAAAGCTCTGCATTTTTAATATTCTTTAGGTTCCAAACTTTGGATGCATTAAACTGTCTAACAAGACTGAATTAATAAAGTAGAGTGATTGACAGGAGACACTTTCATCCTTTCATTGCCTGAACATCTCTTTATTATTAGGAGATAAAAAGTTGTGAATGACTATGGAATATAGGAATAATGTAAAGTCTGTTGTATTTAATGTTATTCATGGACAAATACGTACATAATTTTGCTACACAATTTCACAAAATATATTTACAATTATCTTAGAATATTTTAAGAAACAAACTTGTTCAAAGTCTTGCTTTCTTTCATTAAAACATGCATTTGTTTATTTTTTTTTTCAATTAAGCAGGAAGAAAGGGCCTGCAAACAGAGATCCAGCTGTTATAGGATCATTAGCAGCATTTGCACTATCTATCAAATAAAGGGGTAAGAGGTATAAGCTGCAGGCCCTCTCAGGAGTGGGGTCCTATCCTACTTAAGAGATGATTAGGGATTCTGAGGCAGTAGCTATCATTAGTTGCTTAGCAATGGAAGGCCCCCTAAGATGAACAAAGTAAAATGAAACAAAAGGGGGAAAGCATCACCTTGCAAATCTGTAAATGAAAGATAATCTCTCAGCTAGTGAAGGACATCATGTCCTTCCAGTGACATGTTGTTGGGACACTATCTAAATGAGGGCATGCAGAGCATCCAGGACCTGTGATGAAATACCCTAAAGTATTTTTCTAACTCTGATAAATGCTCACCGACACAGGTATCAACACACCTCTTTAGTGGTGATTACTTACAAAGGAACTATTGGAAACACATTTGAAGGAGACATAACCAAATATTGCTTTCTGCTTCTGTATCATACCAATGAATGATAAACAGACCTTATGAAGAGAACAAAGGTTTGTTATATTATTTGCTTCACTTTTTTACCCTTGCAAAAATAAAGAACAAACATTTTATCAATGTCTCATATTCTCATATCTCCTCATATTACTCACACATTCAGTGCATGAGAAAGTTAAATCCCCTTTTCATTTTTAACCTCTTCTAATACTAAAGCCCTTCATCCTCAAAGAGGCCATTTCCACCTGGAAGGATGTGCCCTTAAACATCTTGCATTATCTTGGAAAATATGGACAGTACAGGCCTGGTTAAGGGATTAAATTCAAGATAAGATGGGCATCAAGTCTGAACCATCACATTTTTATAAATTTCTATTCACAACACAAACTAGAAAGAAACATCCAAAATAAAACAGAAAAAAACAAACACATTTTATTTGCATTCTTCATAAATTATTTTTCAAGTAGCACATGTAGGATGCCAAAATGTTTTACACGGATTCTCCAATAAGTGTACTACTTTAATTTAGATAAAAAAAAAATTTGACAAATAGAACAGAGATAAAAAACATCTGCATGAGGTTTTATGATGCCATGTCCTGACATGGTTGTTTTAGCCTTCCAAAGTAAAATACAAAATTAGGAAAAAATTAAAAATAGAAGTTTCAATATTATTGATCTTCACTTGATTGGCAGGTAGACATATAAATGGAAACAGATAAAACTTTGGCATTTGCCCTGGAAACCTATAAACTTCCCCTAAATCTCTAAATGGTCAGAATTCATTGAGTGACAGCTAGTGGCACCAATCGGAGCAGCGTTATGACCTGTCATTTCTTTGTTGTTTCTTGCATTTAAGATTAAAAAATCAAAATATTTTAACTGCTAAACAGTAAGGACATTGGGTATTTGAAATTTTGCGATTTAGCTTTTTATTTTGATTTTGTGGCATTATATTTTTACATAAAACTGACAAATACTCAGCTTGTGGTTTTTTAATATAGCACTTTTTTTTCTGTGGCATAAATTTATTGTGTTGCCCAATCAGAATATGAAATACACTTTTTTGAAAAAGATTCTTGTTTCTTATGATACATAGTTCGTGGTGCTTTGTTTTTAACTTTACTGCTAAAGGTTGATGAAGTCAGCATGTAGGGCTGTATGTAATTTCAGGGCTAAGTTATAAATGTCTTTAATTTCTAAAAACGTTTCACTATTGTGAAAACAAATGTGATAGATTAAGACGATATTGGAGATTTCCTGCATGTGCAATACTTTCTGAAATGTTTACAAATATTTTGTTTATGACAATGTAAAGTGTAAGGTATAATGTACTTCACTGCTTGTCTCACCCATGTACAACATGGATAGAAGTCTTTCAACAAGATAAATAGACTTATTAGAAACTGTTTCAAAATAATACTATTTTAATAGCAGGACATTTGCTTTGAGTGTCTTTATTTCTATTTTAAAGGAGTAAAATAAAAATGTCTTATGTACTCACCAATATATTCAAAAACGTAGACGACAAAGAACGGAGTGACGAGGTCATTTATTCCTTGCACATAGCCACTGGCTGGGTGTCGGATAGCCCAAATGAAGAGAATGCGTTCAAAGATCTGTTGTCAATAACAAGAAAAAGTTATTATAAACAAAAACAAACTAAAAAATGATGAGTTAATACTGTGTTAACTTTTCAAGCACCACAGCATCTGCATCCAAGATTTTATCTACAGTATATATATATTAAATGCATTGATATTGATATGCAGTTGTAAGAGTATGTAATGTACAGGTCAGAAAACCAAATGGAAATGTTTTCATGGTATTCCTTGAAATTGAATAATTTTTTTGTTGTATTACATTTTGCTGTAGATATCTTCTAGGACTAAAGTTTGATAATCAGAAAGCTACATTTAATGTTAAATGTATTTTCAGAAACAATGAGTATACACTTATTCCTAGCTACCACTTCCTAAAAAATGTAACTACTAAGACTGTATTCAAATATAAATGAGATAGCAATGTATACACAGTATCGGACCTGCACCCTCATACAGTTAAATACAAACTATTTGTTTCGACAATATTTTTCACAATTCTTTTGCACATAAAAACAGTTCTACTAGTGCATCTAGCATAATGTATAATGCTTACAGTAGAATGCACTACAGCCAAAGCAGCGAAAGTATGATTTTTAATAGAACATTTATTAAATTAAGAAAATGGCAATCAACCAAAATTATTGCAATCAAAATTCCTTAAAAATAATAGAACCAAGACAAATTTAATCTGATGTTCCCTAAAGTACAAGGATAAGAACTGTATGTCCCCTCTTCGATGCATTAGATGATAACTAACAATAACAAGCTCTGTGCTTAAAAGTTTTGTTCATTTCTTAAAAGACAAAATAAAACATACAATTCCTTTTGTTATCTTAATTCAATCTCATTTTCTTCTGTATTCTCTTCCGTCACATAGTTTTAAATATATAAACAGTAAACCAGTATGCTCACACCCACTGTTCTAAGTGTGCATTGCAAGAGTAATTCTACCAAGCGTGTCCAGTAATTCCGTAGGCAAACAAATGATTTAACACTTTGACAATATCCTATCTGTGTAGGTGCTCTACTACATTGCACACAGAACATCCTGTAGGTGCAGAAACCACACCATAATTCTCTACTGAGAATTTCACCCATTGCACTACCATACACAAGTCACTGATGAGGAGTAAAGTGAACAGAAACCATAAGTAAAAAGTTATAAAAGTAAAAAGTATATTTCTATTTTATCTATCCTATCATTCCATGTGTCAACTTGTCTTAAGAAAGTAAAACCAGTTTCTTATTGTCTCATCTGCCAGAAGGTTATTTGCATTATTTTGAACTTAATTCACCTGATATCTCCATAGAACCCCCCCCCCCAACTTCAAAAGAACACAAGTATTTCAGTAAAAGGATATAATTTCTTTACAATACATGTACAAACTCACTTTCATGAAAGGCCATGCTTTGGATAGACTTAAAAACACCTATTTACAAACAGCAAGAATAAAAAGAACACCCCTCCCCACTAAGCCCCCCCAGCACACTGGGGGCCTCAACACTCAGACATACCACCAGAACTCTTGATTGACTTAAAATCTTAAATGATTATGAAAACATGTAAGTTATATGGTCATACAGGAGGTCACTGAATAATATGGTGATTTAAACTCTATAATGAAAAATGTAAAATTTTAATTTTATGGCTACTTAACTGTAATAAGAAGACGTGTACCAGGTCGAATGTAGCATTTATTAATTTAGGTCAAGGCAAAGTAACTGGATTTACTAGATCAAGGAAAGAACAACTCAGGATAAAATAAATCTTGTGCGTCACTGTCAATTTTTCATGTACATTTTTGACTGTCTTTCTGCATCTGTAGATCAAGGACTTTCTTTTACTCCAACTTTCTTTCTTGTCTTTATTCTAAGGCAAACACTTCCATCTTCATTAAAGGCAATGTCTGCAAGGTTTTAAATGTTTCACCTTGCTGTCAACTTTCTCAAATTAAAAGAGGCTTGAAGTTCAACTTAAATAAAGCAGAGAAATGTATTTTCATTTTTTAAGCAGTCAGTGCTTGACATACAAGACAATATATCACACGCAGTGGGATTCTAGTTTTATACCTGTCATTTATATAGAAACACATTTCTCAAATTTTACAAAGTACCACAAGCTGCATCATTTGTAAATGGAATAAAGTTTTAAAAAGCAAAGCCAACATGTATTATATTCACATCACTTTCAACATTCTTTTTATCATCAAGTTGCATTAATTATATTCAGAGAGGAGACCCTGGTAATGTTTTCTCCTCCCCTCAGAATAAAAACGTCCAAGGTAATGCAACCATGAGGCTGAGATGAGTCACTGAAACATGCCCTTCATAAAACAGTTAAAAAACTATATATCCCAGAGGCATGCAGATAAAGGATAAAAGATAATAATAGTATATATAAATTCTTATAATATGAATATGATTTTTTTTGCTAGGAAATGATTATGGTTTTATGTTAACACTGCAAACTGCTAAAAATCATTACTGATTGGAACAACTTGTTTCAAAAAGTGATTCAAAGTACCTGTGCACATAGATTTTTTATAATTGTTGCATATATTTGATTAGGAGCGAATTAGGCTCTCTGGAGCCACTTTGGTATCTCCTACAAACCCAGACAGATGTTTCACTTATTTTGCCAAAGGTACTAAGATTAAAAATCCATACAAAAGAAGCCATACAAAAGGAGCAGTGCAAAATAATATTTTTTTCTGTTTTATTAGCACAGCACAGTTGTGCAGTAATAATAACTAAGTAATTTATAATAATAAATTATTATATTATGAATAATACCTGAAGAAGGCTCCACGGCCGAAACGTTGTGTTCTCTTTCTTCTATTACTTGGTCCTTTGCAATTTATAATAATTATTTTTGTGCTTAAAAATAGCATACCACAAACAGAGTACAAAGAAAATCATTTTATGGTTATTTTTTCACATTGATACAAGTGGAAGAAATCTGGTGACAATATGTCTTGAAGACATTAGGCCAAAACTACTGAAATCACTTAAACCAAAATTCAATTCAGTATCGTAAACTCATGATTTAGCCCTCCATGTAATCTATTCCCAAATTAAATTTATGGATGGACAAAGCTTCCATAACATGAAGTTCCAATTCTGTCTGTAATACATTTTATTAGTGATTAAAAAAAGATTGTGCACAATAAATGGAAATGCCTTCCATACTAGGGCAAATTTAGGGAGACCAAGAACGTTAAAGGTAAGGATTTCCTTGTAGCTTATGTTTTGATTAAGCAAATAACATCCTATCATCCTAAGAGTCATGCATAAAATGCTGGACAGGTTTGGTTGCCAATAATACAGTTAGAATGGCTTTAAGAGGAGACTTCAGTTATTTTGAAAGTTATGATTGCTGGGACAGATTTGGTAGGTCTTTCAGTGACCTAGACAGCTTATCTTTCCAATGTTTTGCAAGCAACGGTATCTAAGGTGATGTCAGCATGGAACTCTAAAAGAAAGACATCAGCAATACAAGGTAACAGTAATCGGAACCTCATATCCAAATCCAAAATCATGATGTCCATCAATCAGTTTGAAGAGCAAGGCTAAACAGAATCATTTACTGAAAATATTAACCTGGGGAACAAGCAGCAGGTTTAATATAAAAAAGCCCCCCACATTCACACAGAGTGTGATACCATAATCAGGATTCAGTACTAATCACAATGGGCAATGAACATTTGCAAGTCTTGTGGTACAAACAGCACAGGCAATGGACTACAAAGCAGTAGAGAAATGTGAAATGTGTTCCCTGAAAATGGACAAGAGCACGTGTGGCACCAATCTTAAGTAGTCTACCACACTGAGTGGTAGGACACTGGTAGTTCCATAATGTTATAAGGTGTACTAATACCCTCAAAAGGCAAAGTCAATGCTATTTGTTACTTTATGGTACTGAGTGATCAACTTCACCCTGTATTGCAGCATTGTTTTCCTGCTAGGAAGGGTGTCTTACAGAATGACAATGCCCCGTGATTGGTCAAGGTTTGATAACCATAACACAGACATTATCCATATGTCATGACCTTCTCAGTAACCAGATCTGAACCCAATCAAGCATTTATGGGATATTCTGGAATGACTCTTGAGACAGCATTTTCTACCTCCATCAACCAGAGTTAAATGTCATAGTCATGGAAGAATGGTTCTGAAGCCCAACTGCAGTAATCCAGATACGTACTGTATAGACTCTACCATGATATGCAGAGGCTACAATGGCAGAATGTAGTGGTCTAACTTTAAATTGGTGTGTCCATTTATTGGTCTACTACCTATATTTCCAAAACAAGCACTGATGTGCTTTAATCTGAATTTGCTAAAACATGAAAAAGAATTGTCAAAGAAGAGTTCACTGACTTCACAGACCATTAAATTTAATAAATATTTTATTTTATTTATGGTATAAAAGCAAGAATGAATTCCATATCTAAGGTGTAATTTGCTAGAGGGCATGATGTTTCATTACATCTGGTCTCATGTGGTATTGAAATTCAAATATTTTTTTAGTGCAACAACCAAGTGGACATGCATTACTCAGTAGTCACAGTCTGCTGAGTAAGTTGAAATATTTTTGTGAGAAAAGAACATTTACATAACCCTATATTAAAGCTGTGCTGCCACTCAACAAGAATTCTGTCAGAATATGGACAAGAGACAATAAAACAAAAGTAACTGCATATAAAAAACTAGGCTTACAATCAACAAACAGTTTAACAATAATCAAATTCAACAAGCAAACCAAATTCTACCTATTTCTGTGTATTTCCTCAATGTTGTGAAATGAAGCTTCATCTTTAGCTTTTTGTCCGTTTTCCTTTCCACCCGTTCCAAAAATGCCTCCACTTTAGACTGCAGCTTTGTATTACTATTCTATAAAAGTTCAGTGCATAGGAACTTACTGTACAGTAAGACATGGGAAGGAAGGACCTCAGCCGATTACGTCTCAAATGGTAGTCTGTATAAGAACATCACCATCAGATGTTTATCTTTCACCCCATAATAGTATAAGTAGTATAAGATCCACTACTTGTAATGCCAGTAAGAACATGTACAATCTTCTTGCATCATCATGACTAGTTTTTCTCTTCTGACAATGACACCACAAAATGTGCTTGATCTATTCCAGAAATCACAAACATAGCCCTCCAATTTAACTGTACAATGGATTGGAATCTATGTAACACTGCTTAGATTAAAAACCTTTCCAGCAAGGCAGGTCAGGTTCCTTTTTGCCTTGAACACTGCAACTGAACTTCTTTTCTGAAAAAATCTTCACTGGCCTGGAAGGTTCTATTCAGTTATTGACTTACATTAAAGCTTGTTTTTCACTATCGAGACCTTAAGAAGGTCAGTGCCTAGCACTCTCAAGCCATGTGATACTGGGGCTGGTCAGTACTGGGATGGGAAACAGCTAAAGAAATTCAAGCTCTTGCAGCAGGTTCACACCCGAAATGTTATGTGCTCTTTCTTCTTTTTTTCAGCATGGAATAAACCTATTACTTGTTCCTTTGCGTCTTGCTATAATGACTGGAACCTCAAATCTGTATGAGATTTTGAAAAAAAAAACATTAAACTGTTGTCCAGACTATTTGATCATTAAAGACATCATGGTAACGTTTGGAAGACCTGGAGTGTTGATCCCAGTTTCCAAGCTAATTCCACTTTAGGTGTGTCTAATCAAACATCCTTAAATTTTGTTGCTGCCACATAATTGTAGCCATGAGACACCCAGCCCTTCAGTGGAGAAGTGGGTAGCCTACCTATATGTAAGGCACTTTACAATGCTTTGGGATAAGTGTTATAAAAATGCAATATTTACAACAATTAATTAATATTACTGTATTTTCCTAATTGTCCAATGCTTGATTATACAAATGTTTAATAAATCACTTTTTTTTCAAGTTAAAAGTTATCTGGCTTGATAAGATGAACTAAAAAATATCTGAAAATATTTTAGCCCAAGTGATAAATCTGAAAGCAGCAAATAATGGACACATGCATCAACACTACTCATTGGGGCTGATTCCCCTGTACACCTCATTGCAATTAGCTATGAGTGGCCTCTTCAGGAGCTGTTTTCACTAGAGGAGTCAACATGATACATTTCACCAGAGGCAAAAACCTCAGACAGTACTATGTATCCTAATGTAAAATGGAATAAAAGGAAGTCAGGTGATACAAACTGATGATGTGATTGTACATTGCAAAATTGTCTCAGCAGTCCTACTTAAAATAATGTGTAATCATTAGGTAAAACAGACTGGGCATAAAGTGCACTCTTCTCATTATTTCAACATGTTGAGACATCTCACATTAAAGCAATGAAGGTTATGTGTACCCTGTCGGTTAAAGATACCATTCTCCTGCTCCCTTAACTCCAAACATTATACATTTTATTGTATATATGTGCTTCACCAAGTCACTTTGATTAATTAACCAAATTATAATTAATCTATAAAAACAAACTTTAACAAATCTAGAAATAACCAAAGAATGCAGATATACAAATCATAATTTTTGTACAGCTAGTCAAAAGCTACCAATGCATAAACACTCAACAGATTTTGTCACAAAACAAGTATATTACCGCATCGCATTTCAGAAAGGTACAGTCCATTATTATAAAAAAGAAAAAGACTGTCACCGAACGCCCAAGCCTATTGTAGGTAGTTATAAAATATAAAAGCTGCAATGATGATTCTAATGGAAGCAACTTAACAAATAATACTTTATATTTACTACAAAAAGCCACTCCTTGACAATGTTCACCATTTCTATCATAAGCACAACATTTCTGCAAAAACTTTAGATTAATATATATAATAAATGAGAATGGAAGAAAGGACAAATAGCAACTGCAAACAACTACACTCTCTGTGGTCTCACCTCAATTCGTAATGTATTAATTTAGAACAAAGTTGTAACAAGCACTAATTTCCTAAGGTTTGCAATTTACATGTTCAAGTGTTTAGTTTGTTAGGAAACAGGATATATTCACAGTTTCGTCACTTCATTAGATTTAGTTAATTTGTATTCATTTTCAGCCTTTTTAAATTACCATGTGCAGCAGGTGACTGACAGACCAGCAGTGCATAAAGATGGAAAACAATATTTTGTTTCACTGGAGATTGTAACACTTTTACTGAAACTGCAAAATCTTGGTGCAAAACTAAAAAACTAAGCAGTCTACCTTCTTAAAATGTTTTTAAAATGAGGCAGACAAGTCAGCGATTATCACTTTCAGCAGTTTCTAAAAACAGTACAAGAAGTGCGTATATTTTTACAGTCCCAATTAATGTGTAAACACTTCTTCAACAATTAAACAATTTCGCAGATCTTTAATCATATACTGTATTTCTGCACATGCATTTTATTCCTTCATTGGAAATTCTATTTCTATTCCTATTCCACATTCATTATATCCCCCCTTTTCCTGCAAAGCAACAAAAAAATTGAATAAAGCACTACTGGCCAATCAATTTGTTCATTCTCTCACCTCTTGCACAGAAGCTTGTTGAAAGAGAGGAATAAGAGGATTAGTTCTTGGAATGTCAATGTGAATCTGCGGATAAAGAAAGAAAACAGAAGCACAAGCCAAATTATTATGGGTTGGCACAGCCATTAAAGGAAATCGTTAGTTTCACAAGGCTTCAAGCCAAGGGCCACATACAGCAGTGCCATCTTCTCTTTCTTCCTCTCAAGAGAGAAGGGAAACTGCTGAAAACCATTCAAACAGCACACTTCCTGTTTGTACTGAATTGTGCTAAAGTGTACCAAGGTTTGACCAACATAATCCAACCTGATTATACTGTTCTTGTCATTTACAAGATAATACATCTATTGTGGTCTTGAGAAAGAAGGTCATAAGAATCAGGACAGAAGAACACAAACCAGTTCCAATTAAATTAGTCAGTTTATGACCTGATAAGCTTTTAAGCTTATAAGCTTTTTTACACAAACCCAACCCTCCATCCATTTTTTGTACAATTTGAGATTATTTCAGCTATTGATATATAGTTCTAAGAGTAGATTGCATTCTGGGGGATACTGTTTTTTGAAGTGAGGAAGATCATCTTCAATAAGTTCAATAACTATTGCATTATTGGAAACTTTTAATTTAGAATTGTATTGAGCAACTCTGTAATTAATAGGCAAAGTCTTGCCTTAGTAAGACAACTATATTGAGCAAATTACAAAGTACAAAGGTTTGTATGAATGGCACAGAAGGTGAGAACAGGTACAGACAGTTGGTAAAACCTGAAGAGACCTTCACCCAATTCAGCAAACACACAGCGCATATGGACATTGTCTTCAGATTGGTATAATGGGATTGATGGATGAAATAGTGGAAAGAATCAACATGTTTTCAATCCCTTATTTCTTACCTCTGTTACTTTAGGCTGAAGTATTAAACTCTCAGGGCTCATACGAGGAATATCTATGTGAATCTGATGGTTCAGAAAAACAGCAAAAAAACATACTTGAGAACTGCATTTTAATGTTTTCATGGTATAAGACATAAATTCTACATGTACAGAAGAAAGTTACACACCCACAAAGGCAAATGTAATAAAATGTAATATCAGTAAATTGTGAATGCTATATTTTAAACCCTATAAAATTGTATAATGTAGTTTAATTACAATCTAGATGTGGCGTATAGCAGCTTTTGCATTCAACCTGCTTTCATTTAAAGACATACTGTAAGAATATGCTTGTGCTCTTGAGCATGTTTCATGATCTTCTGCTAGACCTTGCAGTAACTGGGAAGGAAATCATTCAGGAACATGAGAAAGAAGGACTTAAAAGCCCTGGAATAAAAGTTAGGAAAGTCAGAGCAAAACACTAAACAACTGACATTAACAGTCAGGGAGATCAAGCAAATTCAAGTTAAAATGAGACTGGGGGCAGAACAGAGCAAAGGGAAAACAGGAGACATACAGAACTGTTTAAAATTAGAAAAGAAAAATATGTCCTATTGCCAATAAAACAATTTGGTCTTAATTCTTGCTTATGAATCTAAAGATATTTTCTCACTGTCAAGCATGATAGTTATTTCCAATACAGTCCTAACAAATATTTCTCAGACTAAATATTTTAACAGACAGCTCCATCTGGTCTTAAGATTATATATTTGAATTCATTTAATTCAGACTGGAACACGTCAATGCATATTCATAAATCACACACTATACTGGCAGAAAGTGGCACAGATAAGGAGCAAGTATAAAATGCTTGTGTAATGTTCAGTTAAATGCAGAAATTAACACTTCACCTCAAACAAGGGTCTACTCAAGAAAAAAGGGTTAGAATCTTCTTTAACAAGAGCTATATAATGCAATCAAACAAAAGTATATTACATAAGTAAAACATAAAGAGCTTTTTTATATCAGTACTACGCATACAGTATGGAAAGTCTACCTTTATGGTTTTACGGGGTTCAGTTCCAACTTTTAAAGAATTTAAATATCTGACGGCTGTCATTAATTAGCTTGTTTTCAATAACCAGTGATTTATGTGAAAACATTATAATGTATATATGCTTTGCTTTGGATACAGCATAACTGAAAGTCTTTTTTCAAACTTGTGTATTTTTACAGTTTATTATTAGTACATCTCATCTTTTATATGTAATAACACTATGCTTAGTGTTAATTTAATGAGATGGCATTCATTTGAGCTGTACTTTTGAAGTCTGTAATAAGTAATAATAATAATAAGTCTTTATAGATGGCCTTTCACACTTTTCTTTTCAATCCCAGTCAGCCTCGAGTTAAAAAGGCAAGTACATCTACATTGCTATTTTAATCCCAGGATATTATAAAACAGGTTGAATGCACTTCTGCATGTATGCATTGCTGAAAAATTAAATTGGAAAGCCCGTTTGTTTCACTGAGATCACACTATTGCCAGCTCTAAATGAAGTACATAAAATTAAATTAAATTAAATGTAGTGACTGCACTAAATGAACCTTCTTTGGGAAAAAAAAACAATTACTTCTATCATTACTACTTCTTCGAATTGCATGAAAACAGTGGTATGAAAGGACCACTTCGGACCCGGTGAACCTGACGTCGAATTTTTCAAAGCAAAGCGAATGCAAGCAATGATGAAATGAGTGGTCAATTAAACTGGGGTCAGCCCAGAAACAATTCAGAAGAACCTAACAGCACAAATGAGAGAAGGCCATTTGGCTAGATTATTTTTGTTTTTCTGTAGCTTTGAATCCAAGGATCTCATCCCACCATTTTCTGAAAGATGACGGGATATCAGCTTCATCATCATCAGTGAGGAGTGTTTCAGGCTGCTACAATACTTTGTGTTAAGAAGTGCATCCTTTTTCCCCAGTATTAAATGGTCTTCAGCTTAGTTTCCATTTGTGTTTTACTGTTATTTCTGAAGAACCACATGTTTATGTTTGTCAGTGCATGTAAGTACCTTGTAACTTTCTCTGATGGAGACTAAAATACTTAGTTCTCTAAGGCTGTAAAAGCAAACAGACTATTGAATCCAGATCAGCATTACTGTTTTTTTTTTTTATTGTGGTCAATCATAATTAATATTCAAAATATATCTAACTATGAAAGTTCACAATTTTAATATATAATAAATAAGTATTCATTTAATACATTCTGCACTATTATATCAGGACATCACTTTTGATTAAGCACAAATACAATTTAGGGTCATGGTGGCCTGGAGCCTATCCTGGGAAGCGTTAACTAAATATTATAACATTATTTTGTCCTTTATTTGTTTTGTTGTTTTATTTTGTATCTCTCTTACAGCTCTCCTCTGGATTCCAATCTCCTTTCATTCTAGTTTAAATGTATTTTTCAATATATTTTTCTGTAGATCCTTGCTTCAAGGCAACTGTTATTCATCTCATTCAGATATAATCCATTGTGTGTGTACAGATCACCTTTGACTAAAGGTTTTCAGTGGCAACATAACCTGAAGCACTCTCCAGCAATGATGTCCTCAACTGTATGTTTTGTTTACAGATTTTTACAGTTGTTCACATCCTCATGGTGCAGACTGGATTCTGTGGCTCTGATGAGATGGGATGCTCCGACTCTCCTTCCAGTGTTGAAATGAACTATGAGCAATCTTTTGAGAAAATACCACTCACTCTGGACACACAATCATTGACAAAGGCCAAAAGATGTTTCTTTTAGAAGATACTTTCTCCAATGTTTGTTCCTTTGAAGACCATAAACCTTGATCATTTGGTGGCCTAAATTGAATCCCACTCTGTGCCAAATGGTCAAATGAAGGTCCAATGCACATCCACTACCACCAATCAGATATATTAAAAAACTTGGGATTCCTGGGAAATCCATGGAGGGAACAGTAGTTTGCTTATTACCCTTCCTTTGGAATCCATGTGATAAAGATGGCATCTGATCATTTTCATTGACATGTGAGCATGTTTTGTAACCAATTATCACAATTCAACTTTTCAACCTTCAACTAGATAATGATGTCCAGAATGTGGATGAAAAGTTATTTTTATATTCAAGATAATTAAAAAATCAATGATGAATTATAGAGGAGAAATTTCACAATCACTTCTGTCAACGTATGGTTGATCAACTTCTCACCTTGAACAAAATTAATCTGTTCTTCAGAAAGGCTTGTTTGTGTCATTGTCACAGATTGAGTCACACTCTGGCCTGGATGTGTGCTCATGACTACCACTTATCATGTGACTGGAACATTCATGGGAACCCTGGAAATGTCTATATATTTATATGTATGCCCCCACAGTTAAATAATAATAAAGACTATAAAGAAATATTTTGAGGCACAGGACAAAAAACTTAAGAAAAATGAAACCACATAGATGATTTCATTATCTTTTTTCATTTGAACCACAAATGAACGAGTAGTTTCAGATAAAGAACTTATACAGTATTTTATATAGACAATGTCTTGTGTCTACATACAGACAGCACATTTATATACACACAAACATACACAACTCTGCCTGAACATAGCATGTCTTATTATGGCACTGGTTCCTATTTGATATCACTGTGTCTGACAGATGCTGCATCTTATTTTTTCCCCTAAAACGTTAATTTCAACAGTAATTTAGACTTCACTTAAATCACTATCCTGCTATTTCCTTATCCATTAATTTGCAGCTCAGAATATCTGCGATGTTCTAGGATGTTGTTTTGCTGATAATAATTTCATTGACCAGCAATACAATAGTTTTTCCAATCAAAAACTGAATAGGATTGGTATTCATATGTCATACATTATACTATGTTTGACCAATGTTTAACAAATGAACATAGGCCATTTGGACGTCTTGCTCGTTGATCTTATATCTGACATATATGATTAAGCACATATATTTATTATATTTGTCTTCTTTTCTGCAAGGCAAAGTGTATCCTTAATTTTTGTGGGATAGTACTGCAATATGAAAATACTTTAAAGAGTAAATTTACTTTGTTTTTTAGTGGTGTGTACATAAAAGCCCAGAATGTATGGGAAGTGTTGAATGTATTAAAATGTATATTCTCACAAGCAAAGCATTTGAATCTCAAGTGTACAGATAGAGTTGTAAATGTTCATTGTGCGCATATATATTTAAATATATGCATGTATATGTACTGTATATACAACTTAAAAGCAGAGAACAAAAAGTCATTTTCACAATTTATTATACCTTGAGAACAGGTATCAAGTCCCTTTGAAGAGCATATCTACAGTTCCTATGAACTCACAACCTCACACAGCCATTTTATTAGAGCTTTTCCATTTTTAAAATACCTTAAATAGACCGACAATTATAAATGGCCAGAAAACAGTTATTTGAAGGTTTTTAATACAAAATGTTGCTATTTTAATGAAAATATGAACATCTCAGAGCAGTCACAGAATATGCCCAAAATAAACCGAAGTACTTGAACTTCAAGTTTGCCTACAATTGGTCTCTTGCTCTCATTGTCAGCTGCCTTCTATACTCATTCTGCTACAAATTCAGGATTAAACACAAAGGGACTTAATACCACCTCTGTTTAAAATTAACAATGACAGTAACAGAAAGAATAACATTTAGATTGATGCCTTACCTGCCTATAAGTATCCTGATGGTGTTCATCGTTTCTAGAGTCATAGTACTGCTCAATGAAACCAAAATATTCTTGTCTTTTTCTCTGCAATGTGCTCTCTCTTCTTTCTGCATTTGCAGGAAGATACCCCTGCAGAAAAAAAGACTATCACACTTTGCAATAGAACCACAGGTTTCTTACATTTGGAATGAAGTATGACTGACAAATGGTTATTGTTTTAAAACAACTAATGTACTTTTGAACCTTAGTTTACAAACAAAAAGTTACAAAGAAATCATTCAGCTTGTTATTCTTGTTTGGTCGATAGCAGCTACAGTGAGTGAACCCAGTACGTCATTTTGCTGTTTCTTGAAGGATCCCACTAACAAAGCTTCAAACACACATTTGAGTAGTACATCTTCCTGGAAGTGCCTCCTATTTTCAGTCCTAAACATACCTAATTAATTCCCACTACTTCTTGAATGATAAATAGAATGTCTTTGCTGTTATCTGTGAAAGATACTGTATGTTAGAAGGGGCACTGGGAACATATCCAAAATATTGTCCTCAATCGTCATCATACACAGACAATGCTTAATAAATAGTGGATGAGGAAAGTATGCTTTCAAATGAATGGTTTTATTCTTAGAAATACATCTCAAGCACAATGAATTTCCACACACACTGTCACCACCATGAAGTTTCTACAATGGTTTTCTTGCCAGCACGAAGCACAGGAAAACATCTGGTTTACAGGTTGCAAAAAAGCAAGACTACCGACATATTTTGTGCAATTCTTTCCCCATGATTGTCACAGGTTGTGACTTTCCGGATATTAAGGTTCCGGAAATGTTACATTTACCAACGTGAGAAAGTACCCTTTCATTAATATAGGCCTAATATTTAGGGGTACATTTGAATGTTTCCCCCAGATGACCAATTGGAGTTAACCCCCCAAAAAAGAAGGCATTATATCTCAGGAACGAAAGCAGCTTGGAACAGCTCAAATGCAGCATTAACAAATGAGACTGGTCAGGTTCTGCTATGAAGTAGGGGGGCTGAGTGACATCACACTTCCAAAAAAAGGTGTTATATGTCAGGAACGAAAGCAGCTGGGAATTTACTTTCAATGGCACAAACCGGCACAAACATTGCACAAATGAATGAGAATGGTTCAGCTTCCCTACGACGTTGTAGAGAGGCTGAGTTATGTCACAACACTGAAAAAACAAGTTGCTATATCTCGGAAACAAAAGCAGCACAAACGCTACTTTCAATGGCACATACGTAGCACTAACAAATGAGGTATGTTGCATTGTTTGTGCTGTTTGTAGGGGGGCAACTTCACGGAGCTTAACTATCCTTTTTGATAATTCAATCATCATTCTCTGCCCAAATACTCCTTATGTACCATAGTATATTTACTTGGAAACCAATGCCCTTCTTATTGAGAAAGGGACACTTTCACCAGCAATTACAAAGGCAATTACACCATCATGTGCAGGTGACAGCCATCCTACTACATTGTATTTGACATACACTGACTGTATATTTCTATGATAGAAAAACAGGATAATTTCCAAAGCTCCTAAACTACAATGATGGTGTGCCTACAACATTTATTCATAATGTTTTAACCTTTAATTTAGTACGATAACTTAAGTGTTGTATTCATTTTTTGTGAATAAAAATATGTACACACACTGCTAGGTCTACAATGTGCTGTTATTAAACAAACTGGACTGTTCAGTGTTTGAATAATGGAAAAATTCTCAATATTCTATTACAGTCTGTATGTGAATTGATATGTCTTGCAGGAAACTGCAGTACTGTGGACATCTAGTGGTTTTAGGTTCAAAGAAGGTAGAGCAAGAGAGATGAGCATGAATGAAGAATTGCGCCAGTTACTTAGAAACAAGTAGTAAGTCTCTAGAGTATACATGATGAAACAGGATTCATCACAGTAGCTACTGTGGCTTTTCCACATCAGGAAACATGGCCTGCAATAATAACATCATCACATTTGTGTAATCATTGTTATTTATAAAATATAAAGTAATTTTGTTATGGCAAGTTTTATAACCACTTAAATTTTGGATCTGATCAGTTAAGTTTAGTCAAATATGTTCAAATAATACCATTTTTAATGCAAAGAGATTAAGATGATTGGTTTCCCATATACTACTCTATTATAGTAAGTTTTTCTATTATTGCAGATTTTACATTTTAAGGTGGACAATGTCCTTATTTACTTTGTTTTGTGCCAATATTGAGTAGTGAATATGCTGCACTCAGCAACTGGAGTCAAAGGTTATGAAAAAAGACTCAGAGGCAAAATGTAAGGTATTTGTACTATATAACATCGGACAGGGACTGCATGTGTCAGAAAACAGGCAAGTTATCAATACATGTCATGTGTTATCAATTTAAGTAGATAGATTTTTCATAAAAAGTACACAATGCTTAGAAAATTCCTATCGCATCATTCCATTTCTTAAGGTATCAAATCTAGGGTTATAAATATATTCTAAAGCAATGCTGAAGGGACTTCAGTAGCCCTGTGCAAATGTATTTATCAAAGGTTTTGGTTTTCATTTACCACAAATTGCTTCAGTTAACAAAATCACCAAAAAATAAAAAAGAACATTGTTTTTATATGTAGACAGGTTATAGAATATCAAAATATTACACAAATAATTACAATAATAAAAACTCAGTTCTTGTAAATGTCTCCTGTGTTACCTACCACAGCAACATTTGGTGTTCTGGGTAAACATTTACCTTTTCATCACATTATCATTTTAATAGGGAAGAGAATGGTTTGGTCTGATATTAAACACGCATTGTATTCCAGTAGAATTACATTATGCAGAAACTAAAAAAAAAATAATCGCCCCAATAACAAAAAGAAAAATTGTTCTGTTGGAGATTAGCACTGGTGCTTAATGTGTGTAATGAGATAAGTATTTCTGGTATTGTGTTGAAGAGATCCCCCGCTGCTTAAATCCCCTTAAAATTCACATCTTGCATGGAAGAGAACACTTGCATAAATAAAGGATTTGGTTTGTAAAAATATAATTTTGCTTTTTATGATACTGACTTCTTTATCTTTTACACAACTAAATCCCCACATTACATATTTCTACATATATTCTGTTATGATGAGTTCCTTTTGCATTACACACAAGATAAAAAAATACTATTTGTTTTCAGTAGCAACTGAACTAGTTCTTTATTACACCATAAATCAACACTCACAATATCCTTCATTACCTTATAGTATTACTTTAATATTATCTAATAGTATAGCAAAGATGTGCTAAAGAATGTCAATTTTTCTGCAAGTGCTTTAGGTTAACTTTCCCATATACGAATGCACAAGAAGTCAAGTTAAGCCAATGCTCTAAAAAGGCATCCAAGCACTCACAAAAACATCAATATCAACTCAGTACTTTAATCGCCACCAGAAATATCAATCGGCTCAACACCTACTCAACCAGCTTACACTTTCTCACTGATTAGACAAGAAACACAGGAGGCTGCTGGCAGGGTCTGCCAAGTCAGGCAAACAGGTGAATTGCTGGCACAAGCTCTTTGTCCTCAAGGGAGTTAAGACTGGCAGACAGACAGTATCCACCTGTGAACTGATCTAAATCATCTTGTAGGTGAGATTTACAACTGATTGTTTGTTATGCAGGTTCATTCAAAAAGTTTTGTTGTCGTTTCCCCAGTGGCTAACGATTCATGTTTTTTTCCAGTGAAATCAACAATCCTACAAGATTTCATTTCATATCCATAAGAACCCCATATCAACCTCTTTGCAGTAACCAATGTTCACATTCATTCATATCCTCAAAGTTTTTCAAAGAAAAAGATTTTTTACAGATGCAATTCATTACTCTTTGTCTTTAAATTGTTTTCCCCAGTATCTAGAAGATTAGAACTATGCATTTAGAGAAACGTTTAATTTATAAGAACTTAATTTATTTTTGTAATCTTTCTGAATTTCTATTACTGCTTCTAATATAACCAGTGAATACCATGAGAATCAGTAAATACTTAGCCTACATTATTGTAAGATTATAAAAATACATGACCTCCTCAGCTTTTAAGATCACTTTTGCTAAAATGCAAAGAAACTCTGCTGACTAACTCTAAAACACCATTCTGACAGTTGTGAAGACAGCTCTCTACCACAGTGATTACTGAAGAGAGTGGTTTAATTAAAGGTAGCTCTGTGTTTCTTTTTTTGCATTATTAAACACTCTTTACTCGAGATGCCATTTTGCTTCCATATGCCAACAAAATTAAGCCAGACAACTTAATGCCAGTATTCTCTTTGGCTACAAAGCACACAAAGGTAATTTTAGCTCTGACTGCTTTCTACTATATGTACATTGCCCCAAGTTTAAAAAAAATAAGTGATTCAAGTATTTTGTATTATTTGAATATATTATATATCAAATTTTAAACAGTTTTATTTTTTATTAGTTGCATGGCTGAATTTCAAGAAATGGATAACTTTCAAGTCATAATGAACTGAGATTGGATCAGTAAAGGATTTGAAATCAATACTTAAAAGTAAATTCCTTATCTACATCATATATAATTAGAATGCCTACATATGCACACTTCACTGTACTAATATACGTTTATTTTACATCTTTCCCTAAAATAAAATCATATAAATATATAAACAAATATTCTTTATTTTATTTCACTTGATGTTTGTTTAGATCTTTTCATAAAACATGTGTTATGTTAAGTAATATAAGCAGATAATGCTATGTTTATTTCCTATTATTTTCATTTAGCATTACTACATCTACTATTTGATTTGATTAAGGTCCGTGAAGTGAATCAAGTTCTTAAATTTGTAACATTTGTAGAACTTTTTAATTGTGCTCTGAAAATCCTTAGCAGATGTCTGTACCATAAAAAGAAAGTCTCATGATAAAATAATTGATTACAGGAAAATTTACTGCCGCAGAAGTCCATTAATCACCAAACCTACAACCCATGTGTGCCCATTTTTTATTCTTTTTTGTAGACAGTTTCTACAACAAGATGTATGTTAGCAATGCCATCCCCTTTAAACCAGAAATAAGTGCTATTAGCATATGTCAGTGTAATTAAGCTTAATTGATAAT